GACCGGCGAGCAAGAGGGAGACTCGGTGTGCTTGCTGTGCTATACCGGCTGGCAAGGCAGTGACGAGCCCTCAAAGGTGTAAGGCTGTGCTCGGCTCAGCAAGGATGAAGATGGGTTCGGCAGTGAGGAAGAAATGAGGCGGTGAGCTCGACCGTTGATGGAAAAAGATGGGATCGTACTCTGATCTTGGTGGGAATGGAAGTCAAGAATCATCCTTGGCCTTAGTGGGTTGAAAAATTAGGGGTTTTGATGGAGAGATGTGGAGGAAAAAATTGCCTATATGAGGAAGAAGACGACTGCCTCGGTGTGGGTATTTGTAGTTACCGGTGTGTGTTGAAGGCATGAAATTATGTCGTCGCCGCCACTGCTACAGATCTATTTATTGATGACGATTTGGTAAACCCATGGCCACCACCTGCAAATCAAGACCGGTGGTTGTAGTGATGTTGCAATCTCTGGCACCACCCATACCAAGTGTTGATTCAAACCCAAGCGGCATAAAGGTGGGTGATGAAAGGTCAGATTTGAAGGTTTGGTGGTTCAATTTATCTCGACAGTCAGTTGGCGTCTTTTTCTGATGAGGTTCAACACGACTGCCGTTGCAAATCCATCTCTGCCGGCGACCACAAACCCAAAATCAATCAACTAATCACAACCCCAACACTCAACCCAACCAATTTAACCACCCAATCACCAATTCGGATCAGAGAGATTTTCAGATTAGAGAGATTTTCATGCCGGCGCTGAGCTCCACCATGACCGAGGGCAAGATTGTGTCGTGGGTCAAGTGAGAGGGTAACAAGCTCTCCAAGGGCGAGAGTGTAGTCGTTATCGAGTCTTACAAGGCCGACATGGACGTCGAGACCTTCTAAGACGGTTACTTGGCCGCCATCATGGTTGACAAAGGTGATGTCTGTCGAGTTCCTCACGGCGGTACATATATACACATCTATATATCTATATCTATATACACACAACAAACATATTCCCGTCGCTCAGCAGCCGTGCGCCGCCTTCTTTGGGCTCAGGTCGATAGTGGATGAAGGTTAATTTTAACAAACTGCGTCGTTTTATTAGAAGGGCAATTTTGTCCTCTTATTTTCTGGTGGCCTGAGTGGGCAAATTGTAACAAATTTATAGTTTAGGAAAGTTTCTTGTAATTCAGGGGATTAATTACAAAATCTCTATAGTTCAGAAAAATTTTTTGCATTTAACCCTATAATTAATTTGTCAAAAAAATAATAACACTAAAAAGTAAACTTCAGTTGAATAAGAACAGGAGACAAAGTCTTACACTACCGCATGAACTCTTTCTCTAGTCTCTACTTTCCTCTTGTCACAATCAATTGAATGGCTCTTTTCGGACAAAGTGTCCTTTCCTATTTCGGATGATGAGACTTTTGAAGTTATAGATGAGTTTGAGACCGGCCAACTAGGTAAATGATGAACTGAACTTTGACTTTTTTTATTATTATTATTATTTTTTAGTTGGATGTTTAATTGACCCAGAATCATTTGGTTAATAATTTTGATTTTTATGACACAATGAATTAAAAATATGAAATTCAACATTCGAGCAAGGTTTGTCTCTAAGAAGTAATCTTTATCAACATCTTTGACAATATGATGATTAAAATTTAGTATTTGTTTACTTTTCTAAATTTTCTTTTGGATGTGGTATTCGAATTTGAAATAAAAAAAAAAAGGTTCTAGTAAGATAGTCCTATAAATAAAGGTGATCACATGACTAGGTAGAGAACATAAACAAACTAACATTTTTCTTCACTAATTCTAAAAATGATCGCGTGAGGAAATACATAAAAATAAAAAATAAAAGTAAAAATAATAAAAAAATAAAAAATTATAGACAAGACTTTGTCATTGAACAATTCAAGCTAACTCTTGCGACCCTACCTCGAGTGGCTACAAACTTCAATCTTACTCCTCAAATCTTGTAGGCAAGTTGTTAATAATCAAACATAATACAGTCCACAAAATACTCCATTTGTCTCGGATTAGTGTCCCTCTTTGAAATCAGAAGTTTTTAAAGAAATATACAATTTATGTATCATTCTTTTTTAAAATTATCAATTTGTATGTTTAAATTTAAATATATATATTACTTGGTTAAAAAATTTAAAATCAAGTCCCCTTTTAAAATTATCATTTTGTCATTTTAAATTTAAATATATATATATATATATATATATATAGGTTAAAAGATAAAAGACTTAAAAGATATTAATAAAATAAACTGACACACCACGTTTTTTTTTTTAAATACTTAAATTTTGAACCTTGTACTTCACAAAGGTGAGGTAGTACATAATAAAAAATAAAAAAAAATTCTCAAAGGCTCACACAAAATTGCAACAATATTTTCTTATATTAATTTTAGGGCACAATTAATTAAAAATTAAGAATTTAACGTTGCATCAGTGGAACCTTCCGTTAGTCCAATGTAATGGATCCTTCAGTTAGTCCAAACATAGCAGGAATGGTGTCTTTCAATGGGTCCTTCGTTATGAATGTATTGTTGACTTTTCCAAGGAAGACCTTTTGTCTTTTGGATGACCTATTGAAATCTGTAACTTTTGTCTCAGCAGGTAGTACTATAAATATGGGTCATCACATGGCTAGAGATGATAAAGAAAACCACGAGTTTTATTGTTTCACTTATTGTGAGTGGGTTATCTCCACCGCTTCTGAAAATGAAACATTTCAAAGTGTTGGTTTTTTTAGTAATATTGTGCTTGAAAATGAAACCAGCTCTAGGATTATTCGGTAATTCAAGTGTTGGTAAAGTAGTGAGGTGCATAGAGAGGGAGAGAAGCTCTCCTTCAGTTTAAAGAAGGGCTCGTTGATGATTATGGCGTTCTCTCTTCTTGGGGAAACTCAACTGAAGACTGCTGCAAATGGAGAGGAGTCCGATGTAGCAACCGCACTGCTCACGTGACCGTGCTTGATCTTCTTGGCTGGGGTAAATATTATCAGCCTTTGGGAGGTAAGATTAGTCCTTCTTTGCTTGAATTGCAGCATTTGAAGTATTTGGACCTCAGTTTCAATTATTTTGAAAGAAGCCCCATCCCAGAATTCATTGGTTCCTTTAGCAGTTTACAATACCTCGATCTTTCAAATAATGGTTTTGTGGGTACGATTCCTAATCAGTTTGGGAATCTTTCCGAATTGCGTTCTCTTGATTTGGGCAATAATATTTATTAGTGTAAAAAGTTTAGAGTGGGTTTCTCATCTTTCTTTATTAAGATACCTTGATCTGAGCTGGGTTAATCTTAACAATGCAATAGATTGGATGGAAGCAACCAATAATCTCCCTCTCCTAACGGAATTGCACTTGAGTGTTTGTCATCTCCCTGGTATCATTTCACCCCAACTTCCATTGATAAATTCTTCTGCATCGTCTCTTGTTGTCCTTGATCTATCGCCATTTTGTTTATATATTTTCTAGTGTTTCTATTGATATGTATGTAGATAATGCATTGGTGCTATGGAAAGGGAAAGAGAGTGAGTACAAAAATAATTTAGCACTAATAGGAGGCATTGATCTTTCTGGCAATAGATTAGTTGGAAAAATTCTTAAAGAAATCTCGAGTCTTGCAGAATTAAATTATTTGAATTTATCGAGAAATGAATTGAATGGACATGTCATTCAAAAGATTGGTGAGTTAAAAATGCTAGAATCTATCGACTTGTCTAGAAATCAACTTTCTGGTGAGATTCTTACAAGTATCACTCGTTTAAATTTTCTTGCTGTCTTGGATTTGTCAAATAACAAGTTGTCCGGGAAAATTCCATCAAGCACTCAATTGCAGACCTTTGATGCCTCCGCATATTCTGGAAATGATGAACTTTGCGGGCTTCCACTTCCAAATAAGTGCCCGGGAGATGAAACAACTCTGGAACCTTCTGTCGGTAAAGACGATATCATTCAACGAAATGATAATGGGTTCATAAACCGAGAATTTTATGTCAGCATGGGGCTAGGTTTTGGGGTTGAGTCTTTGGCACTTTATTGCTCAAACGTTCATGGGAAAATGTCATTTTTAAGTTCTTGAACAACATAAAAGACTGGATCTATGTGACAACAACAATGAAAATGGCCAAATTGAGGAGGGGGCCTCACAGCTAATAGGTACATATCTCATATGGCTTTTTTTGAATTTTCTACACTTTTACTTCAATTTTGTTTTTTTGTATAAACTAGATTTTCAATACTTGAATGACACTAGTTATAACAGTTCTAATTGTTTTTATGTGACAATAGCAGTGAATATGACCAGAGTGTGGAGGCAGCTTCATAGCTAATAGGTATTTTTTATTTTATGTATTTTTTTTTTTTTTATGTTTCTGAATTAGCTACACTTTCACCCCTTGAATTTCTTTTTCTATGAGCTAGATATTCAATATTTGAATGACACTATAACACTTCAAACACAACAAATTTTTTTTTTAATTCCTCTACTTGTAAACTAATGTTAGTTGTTCAATTTCATATTTTGATTAAATGGATTGCTTACGTTATTTTTTTTTTATTTTTTTTATTTTTGCATTTTCGGTGTATGCTACTTCAAGTTCTTTACAATGACAACTTCGAGTTTTGCATACCCTCCAGTGTTGCAACTGTCTCCTAGGCCTCTCTATTTCTTGAAGAATATATTGTATAACTATTCTTTACATTACTTGTCCTAGATTTAGTTAGTGTTGATTGAAGCACAACCATATGGTGTTGGACTATTTGTATTAGGAATGGTTGTGGCCTGCTGGGCAATCCAAAATAAATATATTACATAGTTTGTTGTCTAATATTTTCTTTCAAATATACCATTTAAAATAGGGTTTCTTGAATATTAATATTAACAAGCCTCTTTTCTAGATATAACTCGTGCTCAATTACTAATCCCTTAAGAGGTTTTTTTTTTTTTTTTTTTTCCCTCTCTCATAATCTCATTTTCTAATTCAAAACTTAATGTCATCCTCCTCTAACAGCCCTGAAACAAAGTAAAGCACGTGCAAGTCAGTTCTTTAGATACTAATCAAACCCTCATTCCATTTGCATGACCTCGAACCTGGTAACATGGAAACTTGCATCAGAGCAAAAGCGTTACATATCTTGAACGCATTGGCAAACGCCCATTGTATGATATATATATATCTTGAATGCATGGCAAACGCACTAGTTTGCCATGCGTTCAAACGCATGGCAAACTAGTGCGTTTGCCATGCATTCAAGATATATATATATATCATACAATGGGCGTTTGCCATGCGTTCAAGATATGTAATGTTTTTGCTTACTAGCTGTAAGATTACAACCAACCCGTGGCTAAGAATGGTAAGGATCAATGAGTCAGCAAAAAACAATATTAGATACAGCAGCATAAAACCAGATCAAACACATTTCATGTTTTGTTGACTTTTCGGGGAAAAAAAAAAAAAAAGATCAAACACACTACACGTGTGTGAGAAATGTATCAATACAAATACATATACATATTTATATAGAGAGAAAGAGAGAGAGAGAGAGAGGGAATGGAGAATTACTCTGATATATGGGAGCTCTTACTGAACCAAATGTTACCAAGAGTCTTCTCCCATTAGTATCTAAAGTCATTTCATGTCTAAAGTAAACTGAATCATCACGGTTGCAAAACCTACATAATGGAACACAATGATGTCACCACAGTTCCTTTTGCAGTTCCTTCTGCATAAATTAATGTACAATGATTCTGAAGATACCATTAAAAAAAGTTATAAACTATGCATAGTACAACTAGGGCAAACCCAATGCACGAGGCTCCCGCTAGTAAGGGTCAGATATACACCGCCTTACCTCTAGATGCGAAGAGGTTGTTTCTAAGTCATAATGGAGAATCTTACTGTTACGCCAAGGCTAATCCTCTATGAATGGTCAAATAACTTTCACACAACATTAAATACACCATACCATTAAAGAAACAAGATCATATTAATTTTACAAAATTAAGAGAGATTTGGTTTTGTTTTCCGCTTCAGCATTCGGGGTCCATTATTGTGTCAAACTTCGGGCCATCACATGACGCACTGGCTTGAAAAACCAGAGCCGTCACAGCAACAATGCAAATTTTTAAAAATTTCTATAGAGGCATTAGTTAATTTTTGTAGGTATATATTTCAAAATAATTTTTTTACAAGGGGTAAAATATTAAAAAATAATAATAATAAATAAATAAATTCAGTAGGGGTAATTGCCCCCACTGGACTCTGAATGCCTCTGTCCTTGTAGGTCACCCTTTCAGGCAACCCATTTGGCAATTCTTAGGCCCATGTATGAGGGCCAGCCTGAAATATATATATATATATATATATATATATATATATATATATATATATATCTCTTAAATTAGTCCAACTACTACGGTAGTTGTAATGACCCTGTCTTTTTCCTTCTTCTCCATTTTTGGCGATTTTCGTTTTTCGTCTTTTTCCTATTTTGTCTTTTCCTTATTTCGTCTTTTATCCGTTTATCGTTTTTCCTTACATAACCTCACTTGTTGTGCTCGGATTTGATTCCAGTTTCGCATGCATTCATAGTATCTGATTTCCATGACATTAGTATTTTTACTTTTATTGAAAAGCATGCTAGTTGCTTACTTTATTCATAAAGGGCATGAATGCATACCTTAGTGTAATTATTCATAACTTTTGGGATTTTAGTGTAATTATGTAAAATAATTATTTTTCGTTTCGGGGACCTTTTTGCAATTTATTTTGAAAAATATTTTAAAAAATGACCATTTTGCAATTTTTGAAAAGTGTGACAAGTGTCACACTCTCATGGAGCCATTTGTTGGCATTTAGGTAAAAAGACTTGGCACCATGACTTCTTGACATTTGGTGGGTGGAGATTCATCAATGTGTTGGCCTTAGATTAGTGCACATGTAACCTTTGATTTGTGACAAGTGTAAGCTCAAGATTTAGTCTTGCATTGTGTGTGAGAGAGAGGTAGTGCAAGAACACATAGTGAGTGGAGGATTTCTAGCCCTTCCACTCACCATTTTTACACTTTACCTTCTTCATTTCATTATCTCTCATGAACCATAGCAAAGACTCCATTAGAGGAAAGCTTAGTATAGAACTTTGACTTCACATTTTGCATTCTTCCACTCACCCTAGACCTTTGACCTTGGGAGAGAAATGATTCCTCTTACTCTCCTCTTCAAGAATCCTAAACTTGTTTTTCCATTTTGTGCTTGGTAACTTGGAGTATAGAGATACAATTCTCTATTGAGGTAGGGGTGGTAGTATGTTTATATTCTAAGTGTTTTATAGTCCTTGTGGTTTAATATATATTGTTTACATGCTTTTGATATGATAGTATTGCATATTATATGAAACCCTCACTTCTTGACTTAGAGTTTATTGATATAAGCATGTATGATATGTGTAAACCATGTGTAGAAGGATTATATAATTTAGTAGATGCTAAATTCTAGTAAATTCACACGTGGTAGCAATATAGAACTCTAGTAGAATTATTAGTGTTATATGCAATTCTTATTGACTTGAATTGCTATATTTTTGTGATAATAATTCTATATTATTGTGAATTACAAATAGTGATTAATTTATGAGCCTATTGCTAAATGTTGATAATTAGTATATAGAGCTTGTTATTGAGGCATGACTTGAATTGATAAATTTGTGATATTATATTGTACATAATATCATGATGTGAATTTGTTATTTGGCATGCCATTCTAGATTTGGAGCCCTAAGACATGGTTTGTATGGTTTCAAAATACTTGTACATAGAAGGTGGTTTGTATGCCTTATTATATATATATATAAGTTTTGAACTTGATATATATTTTAGAATCTCTTGGGACATTGTTACATGTGACATGGCTAAAGTTCGGCTTTAGTGCGGGAGGTATGAGTTCTCCCCAATTGAGATAGTGCGCACTAGGGTGGTCTTCCCAGCGGGTTAATGCCCAGAATAACCGTAGTGATCTTGGTTAAGTCCGATGTGTGATGTCCAAGTCTTCCATTACTTGTTTTCGCATTAAATTTCAAGTTGATAACCAATGTTTAATTGTAGCTTGAAATTCTTGTTATTGGCGAATTGATATTGTTAAGTACATTGATAGTGATTTGTATTGCTAAAGAATCATTCAAGTTAGCTTAAGATGATCTCTTAGCACACCTTGAATATAGGCGTTAAGTGGAATGCTCCTTTGTATTTGTCTATATTGATCTTGTAATGATATTGAAACTTTAGGGTATACGCATATGCTTCTCTTACGAGTAACTTGATTACTCACCCTAGTGGTTTGGGTTGTTTTTCAGGTAAAGAGACTATGTTCATGGATGCTCATCATCCTTAGAAACTTTTGAGCTTGTTGAAGCATTTTTGTATATTAATATGCAAGTGTTTAGCATGCTTAACTTTTGAAGTTATATTTTGTATACCATGTGTGTATAGTACTTTTGAAGATTATGTAATTTCCTTGATGTGTAAAGATGTTAAGTAATCACTTTTGACATTTTAAGCATGTATGTAATGAGGCCAAGGGCTAAGCATGTCTACTTTTGTACTTAGACACTTTTGGTAACAAAGTTTTGCTTCAAATGTCTTTTAATAAAATTTTGAGGTTTGAGAAGTCAAAATCTTGTAAATGAAGTGTATGAGGCTATGGGCCATTATTTTATATTCATTTACTCATATCAATTTTGTTGACATGTTTACATTTTTAAAACTCATGAAAATTCAGTTTTACACATCCATTTTGAATTAAAGTATCATGAGAATCAAAGTTGAGGTAGTACCTTAACACCTTAGGCTCATAGCAGGTTCAGCAGCAGGTTTTCGAGGTGTTTCGTCCATTTTGGTCGACCGATGTCATATGGTTTTGTGTTTGCACAGTAACATCACATTCCAATAGCCAAATACACTGTTCAGGGGTCATTTCGGTCGACCGAACCTTTATTTCGGTCTACCGAAGCAATTGAAAACTTTTCTTCATGATTTCAGGTCTCAGCATCTTCATTTCAGTCCTCTGAAACTTCATTTCGGTCGACCGAAATAGCTAGAACCCGAGCCTAGCCTCTGTTGAGTTTCAGCACTGATCATCCGACTTCAACGGGTCATAACTTCTTTGTTTCTAATCCAAATGGGGTGATTCTTGAGCCTAAATTCAAGGATTTTGAGTCAGATTTCCAATGGTACTAATCCCACTCTCAAATTCCAAACACAGTGGGAGTTATGTATGTTTTAGTGAAGCTGTATCAGTCTTCACTTCAACCTAGACGGGGCATTTTGTGGGATTCTTAGCCAAAGTCTATGGAACCTCTTGGAATATTTCAAAATGATTAGATTAGGTTGTATTAACCTTATTTGACTTGTTTAGAGTCAAGTTTCTCTTTTTAATAGTGAATTGACCTTTTTACCCCTTGGATAACAAATTTTGTCCTTTTTGACATTTGTTTCCGTTTTTGTCCTCTTTAAGTTCTGTGACCTCATGGAGGGTTACATTTGCGTCTTAAGGGTGACTTCTATCTCTAAAGGCCTTGGTTTACCTTTAGCTTTCACAATTCGAATTCGTTATCGGATCACTTTCGGTTCATCACTGACGCACCAGGTTGAAAAACTTGGGCCGTCACAGTAGCTACCCAAAATTTAGTTTTAAAGGGATGTTTGGGTGAAATAATTCCCTGAAATCAGCTTTTTTGCCTTCTTTTGGCCTAAGGCACTGTTTAGTTGACACAAACAGTGTCTTCAAGGCTTTATTTTTAGGCAAAAAATGTTAGAAAGACAAAATTCAAATTTTTGGGGCAAAATATATATATATTTTTTTTCAAAAAAATTGCCTTTATTTTCACCCGTTAAATAAATTCATCAAATGATAATAGATATTGTATTGTTTAAAATAGGGTAAATTTCTCAAAACCACCAATACTATAAAAAAATGATCATAAAACCCCAACCAATTAAAAAAAAACCCCCAACAATGTAACAACGTTATCATTTTACTCCAACTCTGTCAATTGACCGTTAAGAATATGTGAAATGACTAAATTACCCTTATTATATTTTCTTTTATTTAAAAAATCAAAAAATCATATTTTTGAAATTACAATATTATCCTTTAGCACAAAAATCATATTTTTGAAATTACAATCTTAATTTCTAGCCTGCACAAATTTCACTCCTCTCTCTCTCTCTAGCACGGTAGCCATGGATGACCTTACATTACAGAAGATTGAAATATCAGGCCCCACGTTAGCCTCTTTGATCCAACGTTTCTCTTCCTTTCCAGGTGACGTGGATGGCTTCCTCTTTGGTCACGTCACCCACATCACTCCCTCCTCATTCTCCAACGACCCCGCCATCGTCGCCGACGCCGCCACCACCTCCTCCTTCTATGACTCCCCCAAATCCTCCGTCACCTCCTCTCTCTCCTCTAAAATCCAATTTTCTTTCCAAATCGAGACTTCCCCCAGATCCTACACTCTCTCCCCATGCATCCTCCTCCTCCTCACGACGCAATTTCAAGATCAGCTGATCTACACACATGAATACCGTGCACACCAGTTCCGGTTATCCACCGACTCGTTTGAAAATTTCCCTAAAAAGCATATAAGTTCGCTTCTCTTCAGTGTACACACAACCAGGCCAATCACAAATGTAGAGACAATCCTCTCTTAATCGACTTGATTAAGAGAGAAAGAGGAGGTTTGAGAGAGAGAGTAGTCAGTGGCGAATCAAGAGGAAGCACGCCGGAGTCGAAACAATAATACGATACGCGATGTAAGCCGAATCGTCTTCTGTTCACAGGTCCTCCGATAGCCCCTCGAAAGCACACAGTGTCGGTCTTCCTACATGTCTAAAATGTTCAATAAAAAAAAGAAGCAAATTTAGGAACTCAAACTGATTCAAATCCTTTTTTCTTCCTCACCCACCAAACCGAAATCCACTGCCAAAAATCAATAGCAAGAGCCCCCAAATCTCCAAAAACTTTGTCAAACATTAAAAAAAAAAAATCTATTCAGATATGGAAAAAAAAAAAAAACCAAAAAACCCTTTTTTTTAAAAAAACATAAAACATAGAGAAGTTCTAGAACCCCAAATTGTTGATTTCAATGTTTTTTTTCAAGACAGCAAACCCAGAAACTGAATGAAGATAATTATGACAAAACCCTAAAGTTTTGCCCAAAGATCTGAATCGAAAGAATACTGACCCTAATCAACTGGGTATTAAAAAAATTCAATCTTTCAATTAATTGTATACTAACTAAACAAGTCTAGACACGTCTCAAATCGTCAAAATTTTCAACAATGAATATAACCCAGAATGTAAATCACCATTAAAACTATGCTTTTGATCAAACAGGTCTGTATCAAATCACCAAGCAACAAAGTTCCGTCAAACCAGATCTTCTGAAAATGAATTAAATTTAAAAAACAATCAAAACTAAGCTTCCAGTTTTCAATAATAACAATAATTGAACTAGATCTGTTAACGATTGGTTACGTTATGGATGAGAAAGATTTTCTACAGCATTTTCCCATGCAAGACAGATTAGGAAAAAGAGGGAGAAAAAGAAAAAACGAGCAATAATACAGGGGACCTATGGAGTGGATAGGAAGAAAGAGGACTTGTTGATTGTAACTATATGCACAACCACTGCTTCTTATAATGGAGGAGGGAGAGAAGATGAAGAAAACACAATGCTTAGGGGTATTTTTGTAATAACACATATAAATATATATCACTTGTTTGGCACATGTGACACCAGGAGTATTTTCGTCACAAAAGTCAATTTGGCAAAGCAATTGTAAACCACGCGCTGGGTTAACGGCCCCAATTGATAGAGTTGAGATAAAATGATAACGTTGTTATATTGTTGGAGGTTTTTTAAAACTGGTTGGAGTTTTATGATTATTTTTTGATAGTATTAGGGGTTCTGAGAAATTTGGCCTTTAAAATATTGTATACATCAAAAAATTAATTTACTAAAAAATTTAATTAACAAATAGTTTAGTTATTATTCTGAAATAAAACATTACATAATAAATATTTTATTACATAAAATTTCATAACAAATTAAATCCAAATAAACTAATGCAACATAAATTAAAAAATATTTAAAATATTAATATTTTTGGAGAGCGAAAACGTATTATCGAAACACGTGGCTCTTAGAAATGTTGACGTGTCTCTTAAAATACTGACGTGACAAATTTTGAGAGCCAAATTTTAGAGATGCCATGGTCTAATGCATCACCATAAGAAATCGTTATATAATGAAATAAATACATTTTTTCACTACAGAGATATAAGAACGAGGGTGGCAAAATCAATAGATTTGTGAAAACTATATGTGAAGAAATTATAGATAAATCTGCGCCCTGAATTGATCGGAGTATATTAAGTTTGTATGTATGAACATGTCTTCGCAATTTTAGAACAGATGTTTTTCTTTTTCTACGATAATCTTGACAAAGTGACTTTTTGCTAAACCAATGTTAGTAAAACAAAGACATGTACATGCAAAGTGATTGCGTTAATTGGTTAATTGTGCTTAGTACTATAGTTTTGATCTTAATGGTGTCATTGTGTTGATAATTATATTTTACAACGAAGAATCATATACGTCTATCTTACTATCTTAGTCGATGCATGTTCCCCTTAATTAGGATATTTTCCGAATAACTAATATAATAATATTTCTTATCTACATATGCCAGAGAATTAGGTAATTTAACAGTAATTAATATCTCAATTAATATAATTTTTAATATTTTTTCATTAATTTATTATTTTAAATAAATTTTATTTAGAGTGATGAACTAATTAATAGGAGTATTAGTTTTTACAATTTATCTTTATCATTATAAACCAAAAGGATGGATACTTATGAATTACGTAGTAATAAATAAATAAAACAAAAAAAAAGGAAGAATCTAGAAAAGATTCGGTGAAAGGACTGAACAGCCATTGTTGAATTAGATTTTCTCATGAGCTCTGAACAGATTGGAAATAAGATTTATGATTATTATATGGGTTAAGTGCAAAAAATCACCTTCCTTGTATACAAAAGGTGCAAAAAAAACACCCTACTCTTTTGTTGTGTGTAAATAACCACCTAGTGTATTGTTGGGTGCAAATTACCCCTAATAAGCCATTTTGACTAATTTATTTTTTGAAAAATTTCAAAATGCCCTCCTAGTCCAGTGAACACCATTTACGGCCAAGCCTTCACCTTCGCCGTCGCTGTGCTAACCGGGCAATTGCCCGCCGGCATTCCAAGCCACCACTGCTCCAAGCGACAATAACTTTTCATTTGTTAAACCCCTTTGATATCCATAATTAGGTTGCAGATGGAGCCACCATCTCGAGTCAGGGGATAAATTAGAATATGAATGGTTCCTGTGAAGAGGCATGAAACCTACTGTGGGATTATTTTCCCCACCTTTTGCATTTGCAGGTCCTGCATCTCCCTGCTTGCATGATGAAGATGCTGATGGGTCGCATGCTCATATAGGAGCTATTTTGGCATCTTCTTGGACAAAGCAACAATTAGTTGTTCTCTGCCAAGCTGCCCTTACTTTGCTGCCGCCATAACTCACCCATTCTTTACCTCATTTCACTGCATAGAAGATTTCACTGCATAGAGAATTTCTCAGAGAAGGATGAATTACAGGGACGAAGGTGAGGGCTTGGTTGGAAATGGTGTTCACTAGATTAGGAGGGTATTTTGGAATTTTTTTTAAAAATGAATTAGTGAAAATGACTGATTAGGGGGTATTTTGCACCAAAAAATATAATAGGGGGTTATTTGCACACAAAAAAATAATAAGGTGTTTTTTGCACCTTTTGTATGTAAGGAGGGTATTTTTTGCACTTAACCCTTATTATATTAATAATAATTTTATTGGATTTAGATTTTCTCATAATCTCTGAACAGATTGGAAATAAGATTTATGGTTATTATTAACTTTAAAAAATTGAACTATTTGTCTTGAATGACATAGTTGCCCTTGAAAAAATTGTAATGAAAATAAATAAATAAAATAATGTAAACATGATGGCAAATTAGAAAAACTATTTTAGTTTTACGGTGTTCATCGACTAACATGACAAGTTAGTTTAATTTGAAAATACATAAATATGGGTTGTGTAGTTTCACTTAACTAAAGGGTGTCAGTGGAATTTAACATTAAAGAATGTTAAACATAGTTTTGACTTCAATTTTTTGTATATTATTTTTTATAATAATAGCCATATTATTATAATCATCGTTTTATTATAACAAGATATACAATAATTTATTCGATAATTAACAGTAAATAAATATTATTCTGATTATTAATAATATATTTTAAATAAGTCTCTGCTCCGGGCCCATGCTCGCTTGGTCCCTCCATGCACTTGCGTGGAATAGTGTTAGATTGGGTCTTGGGCCTTTAGCAGCCTAGCTCATTGGGCTTCCCATGTTTTACTTTGGTTTTGGGGTCTAACGGCCCATTGAGGAGTATTCCTTTTTCGTCAAGGTCCACCTCCTAAGCCCAAAAGGGCATGTACATTTTGTAGATTACAAACCAAAGTAGTGGTCTCATTTGTTTTTTGGTTTGTTGGCCCTATAATTTGTTTCACATTTCAAGAAGAAATTATTTCTTGGTCCAGGACCATTTGACATGTGGTGGATCATTTGTTTTTCGGTTTGTTGGCCTTATAATTGCTTCACACATATTTGAGAAATTATTATATAGTCTTAGACCTTTTGAAATGTGATGGACAAATTTAATCCAGACTGGTAATAAGATTTCTTTGTAATATATTAATACGATCTAGTGGGGTCATTTTCTTAATTGAAGAGTCCGAATTGAATTGTTTTACCAAGTGTCAATAGACAAGACCATCTAATAATTTTTTCATTTCGAGAGCATGGGTGTGTCTCATGCATTATGGCGTGGCATCCCAATCCTCTGCTGTAATTTCTCTTATTGTAGTAGTGATGTAAATTTTTTTTTAACACATTATATCTGCTTTTCAATACATTACAAATGTTTTACGACGCAATGATGTTTGACTCATTACATATATTTTTCAACACAATAAATATAATTGAAAATAAATTAGATATAAATGTGTCAAAACAAATTAATTAGGAAAATGTGATAAGGTTAGTTGCTTCATAAAAAGTGGCTCATGGAATTTTCCCTCTGATTTAGTTATAAGAAAGGTTGTGGACTTGCCTTTCAAAAAAAAAAAAAATGTTGTGGACTTTAGGTTCTCATTTAGTTAGAAAGGTTTAATTAAACATATTTCTAACTTATTGGATTAAACATAATAGAAGAAAATAACTAACTAACTAGGCTTATTATTCTCTGTTTTTGCATTTTACAAGAAGATATGTATGTATTGTTGTTGATAATATCTATGTTATTATCAAATAAATTTAATATTGGCTTATGTGTAGTCCTCTAATTTTTTTTTTTTTTTTTTTCTCTCTCTCCCTTTCTCTCTCTTAGTTACTCACACACACGTTTCTATCGAGGTTCAAACTCCTGACTTCCTTTTAAAAAGTAAGAGTCTGATACCGCTAAGCCACGGATCCTCTAATATAATTTAAAGTAGCTATTCCTTTAGTTCTTCAATTCTCTTCCCTCCACCTTTTCCTCCCTGCTCTCGCTGTCATTTGTATTTCTGTTGGCATACCTTGTTAATTCTTTATTAAAACTTGTGAAATTTTGTTTAGTTAATATGATAATTTTTTAATTAATATTTTATCAAAGTAATAATATATATATATATATATATATATATATATTTTTTTTTTTTCCTAAAGTGAACTCAAAGTACTCAATTTTTTTTCTTTTTCAAAAATTGATACAAGTGCCAGAGGAAAAATAATTTTCCTTTTTTTTTTTTTTTTTTTTTTTTCACAGGTAATTTATTGTTTCCTCTTGTCTAAATCTTTCTTTCACATAATTTAGATTAAATTTTCTTCAATTTATATACTAAAAATAAATATTACCTTTAAAAAAAGTACACTACAATTGATTTTTAAAATTTTCAATTTTTAATTACATAATTGTAGTTTGACCCCTACAAATCAAAATTCCTGACCAAGACCCTTGTGACCCAGCGGTATCTCTTTTACCTTTCAAAGTGGATGGTGAGGGTTAGGATCTCCAAAAGAGCAAAGTGGGTGTATAAGTGTGGTGTGTGTAAATTTTTTACCAATGAAAAAAAAAAAATAAATAAATCCTGATTCCGCGGGGTCTATTTTTGCTATTTTCCTAAAACAAGGTTACTTGCACAGAATTTTTCATTTTTCACAAAAAGTTATTTTATATTTTGTCTTCCCTTTTCATTTCTTCTCTGTCTCTCTCTCTCTCCTTTTTCTCTTTTTACGGTGATTTTAGTTTTTTGTTACAAAACCTATTTTTCTTTCTATTTTTTTAAACCCTAGCTTTAGTACTCTTTGTTTTTACCTTTATTTAGAAGATATTCAACATATTTTCAACCTAATGAAATTCACAAATTAATTACATAAATCAAACCATGCTGCTGATTTGGTGTCTCTGAATCAATTTGCCTAAGTTGTGTTTGTTCAAATTGCAAATGTATATTTTATAATCGGATTAGACATTCAATAGAGTAAATATCGGATATGGATTAAGTAGGGAATAATCCGTCCAGTTACCAAATCGGATTGGATCACTTCTTATGCTTATTGGATCTAGATCGAATCAACCATAATCCGGTTCAAATTCGATCTGTTTACAAGTTAGGAACTTCAATACCATAATATATATCCGCGGACGGAGCCCGTTAAATCTCAAGACTATGCGCCCCAGAGGTGGGCCCCACAAGTTATATATATATATATATATATATATATATATATATATATATAAATTTTTGACTATATAATTGTATAATATTAAGAAATGCTCCCCTTAAAATTTCTCTTTTTCAAAAATCTCTCTATATATTTTTCTTTTCTCTTTTATTCCTACTCTTCTTTGTCTGGTTCTTTTAATTCTTGTCAAAAATATATATATATATATTTCCACTTCTTCAATCAAATTCTATTTTTTTCTTGTTCAAAGTTTTCTCATTTTTCATTTTCTTTTTATTATCTTCATCTTCTCCTTTGTTTCTGTTATCTCTTTAAAAATAATTCTTCTTGTACTCGTGTACTCATGTATGATGTATGTGCTATCATATTCTTTTTTCTCTTCTTCTTTAATTTTATCACTTCAATTTTAATTCTTTATATTTTTATTTTTACTAGACATTTCAATTACAAAATTGATAAATTGTTCTTATTTGCTCAATTTGAAAAATGTAGAGATTTTTTTTCTTAACATCAAGGGATATTTTCAGCACAAGTGGTATATAATAGGTTTTATTATTATTTTTATTTTATCTTTTTGCATTTTACTAAGGGTAGCAAAGTTCAACACAACCCACCAACATGACATGATGAGCGCTGAAAAGTACACATTTAAACCCCTTAAGCTTGAGTATTCTAGGACCTTTATCTATCTTATTTACCCGTTTTAGTACTTATTTGTATTTTTGTCTATTTCAGGTCAATAATGTTAAAATGGGCTAAAAATGAGTTCTTAAGGTCTTTTTGGAGTCAAACTAAGTCTTAGCAATGATCCGGAGCAAAAAGAGGCTGATTTGGAGCAAAAAGAAGCTGATACAGAAAAGTTGAAAAGTTGGATGGATCGCAGAAAAAGTTGGATCGATCGAAAATAAGTTGGATCGATCGAACTGGACATGCTGGCAGCAAGCTGTCACTTTTTCCGTGCCCGCCCAAAAGTTCACCTACCAAAAAGTTGCGGGACTAGATATTTTTGGGCATATATTCTAGACTTAGTGACTAAGAAAATGACCTTCTATATAAAGGGAAGCAACCCATTTGTAAAAGGGGATTCTTTAGGCTTTTTATCATATTTTATTTTCTACATTGTAATTTTTATTTCTCTAGAAAAGTTAGAGATTAGGGTTAGAAGAAAAGAGAGAAGTGGAGGCACATCTCAAGAACACATCTCTAAATCCACTATCTCTCCATCTCTAGAGCTTCAAAGAAGAAGAAGAAGAAGAAGAAGAAGAAGATGGAGCCATGTTTGGAGCTTGATTCCATGACTACATCCACCTCCTCCATAATTGACTAGATCTACACTTAGGGCTTGGATGAGCCCTAAGTCTTGTGTAATCTAAACCCTTGTATTTCTATTTTTGGGGATTTTTATATATATTGTTGTGATTAGTATTCTAGCCTTGTGAATGTCATGAATCTTGGTATATTTCTATGATTCCCATGGTCTAATTCTTCCTATTAATTCTCTAGTTTATTTACATGTCTATGTGTGATTAAATTAGGAATTATGTCTCACATGATTCATATGGGTTAATTCTTCCATTCATTCTCTATTTTAATTACATGTTGTCTTATGTGTGATTATTTGGGGAATTGATCTCTACACTAGTTTTTTTTTATATTAATTGCATGTCTATGTGTGATTGATTGAAAATCTAGTGATGGCTAGACATTAGTGCTTAATGAAATGTTCTTGTTATGTCTCTTGATGGTTCATACTTATTCCTTGATGGATTGTACCTCTCCCTTAGTTTATTTTCATGCTAGTAGTGTAGTTGTAGTGTAGTGTTAGATGGGGGAGACAATTCATGCTTGTTCTTTGATGTTCCATGTTTTTGAATGCAAGAAGCATATGCTCTAATATTGTGGTGTAATGGAATTTTGAGCTTAATGAAGGATTAATGACTTGTTATGATATATTGTATCTTTCACATGTGTTTAGACAATATATTCCTCTCCCAATAGATATATTGTGGCCTCTCACATGATGTTTAGACAATACATGTTTAACTAAGTCATCCTTGTGAATTATTTGGACTATGAGCTTAATGAAAGGTTTAATGACTTGATTTGATATTTTGTTCTCTTCACATGTTGTCTAGACAATATATTCCTCTTCCAATAGATATATTGTAGCCTTTCACATGTTGTTTTGACATTATACACTTGTTGAGTCACCTTTGCCAGTCGAATCAATTTTGTTCACAACAATGTATTCCCCATTAATGGAAAACAAGTGGTTAATTACATGAGCTTAGTGGTGATTCCAACACCCTAAGTCCTCTCTTCTCATCTCTTAAATCCCTATCTCTACTTAGTTTTATTTTTATTGTATTTTAATTAATTCTTTTCTAGAAGTAATCAACCAACCCAACTCTCTTTTGCAATCATTTAGTACGCTAGAGTCGAAGTTGAAATTCCAACACGTATAATCCCTTGGGACGATCCCTACTCACTCTTGCTACGTTAGTAGTGGTGTTGGTAGTGGTTTTTATAAATTTAAATTTGGCATAAAAGGTTTTTCTTGAACCACACATTCACTACATTTAGTTTGGCGTATTGGAACGGCCGTCGTCATGACACAAGATAAGCTAGTTTGGGTTGACCTTAAACGGGTTTGGATCGTAAATGAGTTGACATAATTAACTCGTTTATTAATCGTGTTGTTTTAGAGTTGAAGGGTTCAACCTGTGTAACCCGTTTATATTTTTTACCCTTTAACTCAATGTGTCATAATCTTGAATATGATATGTGTAACCATTACCTGTTTGGACCTGATTATTATGAATAGTTAAATCATTTCAGCATAAACTTTTACTACGTCTAATGATTTATACTTAAGCATTTGGACTCGGTCTACTTACATTGGGTATTTGATGTTTTTTCTTATTTTAAATATTTAAGTTCTATAATAATTATGTAAACTTGTGCTTTTTAATATATTATCTTGTGGTGTAGATACTATTTAGTAATTTGATTTCATTGAGACATATATATATATATTATTTTTAGTATTTATTGGTTGATGGAAGTACTATAAATACTAAAAATATATATAAAATCAGATACTATTGGTTGATGTGGGAGTTAAATGCAAGAAAGGAGAAATAATTTTCCTTCTAAATGAGGTTTCTCCAAATATCCACCAGATACTGTATTCTTAGTCATGTAGCCCTTTATTCTATCCATTAATCCTCTTAAATTAATGTGCATGAATGGAATGAGATGTTCTTTCTAATTATTTCTTTATTTGGTATATAATTTTAAATGAGAATGGTGGCAATTCTATTGGAATAAAAATCTCCATTCTCAAGTAATTTTTTTGTTAAAAAAAATCAACTTCTCAAAAAACCTTCATGTTCTTAGTCCAAAAATCACTATTACCTTCTACCACAACCACCTTCGCCTTTCACCATCACTACCACCATCATCACCACCACCACCACTATCACTGCCACTGACTTTCATCACTATCCACTGCTTTCCACCATCACCATTGCCACCACCTTTCACCATCGACACCGCCTTCCCTTGCCACAACCACCACCACCGTCACCGCCATTGCCTTCCACATTTCACCACCGCCACCACCTTCCACCACTGCCACCACTTTCCACCACAACTACCTTTTCCACATTTCACCATAGCCACCACCTTCCACCACCGCCGCCTTACACCACCATCACTACCACCATCTTTCACCACTGCCACCACCTTCCACCACCGTTGCCTTTCACCACCACCACCGTCACCGCCTTCCATTACCACTGCCATTGCATTCCACCACCATCATTACCTTTCACTACTACCACCGCCACCGCCTTCCACCATCACCATTACCTCCGTCACCATCTTTCACCACCACTGCCTTCCACCACCGCCGCCTCCACCACCACTTCCACCTCCTCCCACGACTACCACCACCACCACCTCCACTGCCTTCCATCACCACCACAGTCACCTCCATTGGCTTCCACCACCGCCACCTACACCACTATCTCCTTCTACCACCACCACCACACTAATACCACCACCTACACCACTACCGTTTTCCATCTCCACCATCATTCACATAACTACCACCACTGCCACCATTTATTTTTAAAAAATTATAGAAAAATGTCATTTTATTAATTAATTTATTTATTATTAAGAGGGATATTTTGGAGAATTCAATTTGAAATTTATTCCATTATAACTTTTAAATTGGTCTAACCAAATACTAGAATGGTTATTGTCATTCCATTCCTACATATTTCATATTTATAACCAAACAATAGAATGAGAATGGATCTCATTCTCATTCCATTCCCACTTGCATTACATTCCATTCATGCACAATAAACGCAGCATTAAAGTTTACTGTATCCATTCATATTGTATAGAAACAATATTTGCATTCATTTTGAATTTAAAAATAAAAAAATAAAAAATTTAAATTCACTCTTTTACATTTTAAATGCAAAATGGATACATATCATTATATCATTTTCCTTATGAAATGAATTATTTTGCAAAAAATGGCTGTTTTAATATTCATTTAGTAGTCAATAAATCCCCAATATTTATTCAATATATAGCTCCCAATTCACAGAGTTACGGTATCAATTACAGTCGGGGACGCAATCACAATGTAACAAAATGGGTTCCGTATTCGCGTTACATAACGAAATCAGTTGAAGCAGTAATCTCTCCACCCTTTCGATTGGTCATCAAACATCATGCGAGGGTTAAAATTCAAGGCAGTTCTTCTACTTTTAGAAAGTACTTCTATTGAAATACCGTGGGCTTTTATACCATTTTTGAACTAAGTTTCGTTTGATTGAATCAGCTATTTTGGATTCAAAGGAACCAAATCAGATGGTGAAACCAATGAAATGAACTGGTTGAATTTGGTTCGATTTCACTATTTTATAATTTAGTCCAATAATTGGCTCAGGCCTAATAATTCAGTCCCGAGTCCAATCAGTCTCCTTTTCTTTTGGTTTTTTGTTTTTGTTTTTGTTTTTGTTTTTGTTTGTTTGTTTTTTTTTTTAAATAAAAACTTGCTTAACGTAAAATTTCACTAACGAAAATCATACATCCACATTATTACAATAGCTATTATTCTATCATTTCTATCTTATACAATATATAAATTTATATATATATATATATATATACACTCCAAACTGGAACCGAACAATTTATAAACGGTTCTATATAATTAAAATCATGATTAGATTGAACTGTGAAAAAATTGAACCAAATCCACTAGTTTGACTTATTGGTTAAACCAATTTTTTTGTCCACCCAAAATTCGTTTATTCCAATTTTAATTTGGAGACTCTAATTTTGTATCTCCAAAATACAACATTTAAACTTAAATGTTTTTTTGTTTATTGAATTTTCTAGTACTATATATTTGTATAATAGGGGTCATAATATTTCAGTTACTTTTCTCAAGTATGCCAAGGGAAAGAAGAAATTACTAAATATATCATGGTTTCCAACGTTGATAAAAAGGTTAGTGAAATAGTATCTTGATATTGGGATGGCAACCGAGTAGGTTTGGCTAAATTAATTCTATTTCATCCCGTTAGAAAATTTGTCATACCAATTCCGCCCTTACTTTGGTACGAGTTTGTAATGGATATATCATTGTCGCCCCTACTTCGGTAAACAAAGTACCGATTCCGTCCTATGTACTCCGTTTAATGATAGGGGCGGGGCAGGTTATGCCACTTTTATTATGTAGTAAAAAAAAAAAAAAAAATTAACCCAATGTGTTCAAATTTGACTGATAAATAAGTTGACCCACATTTTAAATTACTAAGTAGTGAATATTAATAAATATATAACGGATATTTCTAGCAAAGTAACAACGTTCTTAAAATTATTAGATATATATTATATATATATATAAATTTTAAAGGTACATATATAATCGAGGCGGGATCGGGGCGGGTTCATCACTAAATTCGCCCCAGCCCCAAACCCGTTTCGAATTTTCAATTATTTTATTATACTCGTCCCACACCTATTTAGGGGGCTACCAAATTCACCCATTAGGGGAGGAGTGGGGTTAAAACCCGTCGAGTCGAGAGAAATTGCCATCTCTAACCTAACAAGTGAAGCCGTGAGCTCATAGCTAATAATAGACTGAAAGTAGACTATTTTATTCTTAACAAGTCCAAATCCTGACACGTGCACCAATAACAAATAAACACGTCATCTCTAAATATCAAATCAAAAAATAATAATAATATGACCCCTTAAACTATCCCAAATTCTTCTATCTTCAACTAAAGCCGATTATTACACGTGTTATTGAACACGTACTCTACCATTTTTTTTAGTAATTAAAAATATATCACATCATCTTTGATTTCATAATTAAAAAAAACGTATTCACTTATTATTGATCACATCAAGAATTCTACATAAGCAACAAGGATGGAGTCTCACCAGCGAGGACCTTAAAAAAGGATTTTTTCTAACTTGCACAAAAGCTGATTGGTAGAAAACTTTAAGGGCCCGTTTACTAACGCTTTCACTTTCTTACTTTTGCTTCTTCAAAAGTAAAAGTATGATTTTGATTTCTTAAACTGAAATAGAAAATGAAATTATGTTTAGTAATATTTCATATTCATTAAAATTTTGAAAGCAAAATAACAGAATCAAGTTTAATAATTATGATTTTACTTTTATTTTTTTTTGCCATTATTGTAGTTCTATCATCTACCATTCCAATCCCACCATCTCCCAGTTCCATTTCGCATCCACCATCCTCCATTTCTACCTAACTACAAACTGCCAGAAACCACCACCACCTCCCATCATAGCTTTCAAACATCAATAATGTCACCACAAACCTCTTTCCAACACAAAATTAAATTCTCTTCCAGAACCAAGATGTTTAACACCATCCAAAACCCCCTCTTCCCATTACAATTGCTCCAATCACAGTATCAAAAAAAAGAAAAAAGAAAAAAAGAAAAGGATCAAAAATCCTAAAACAGGCCGTTTCTGCAACAACGATGACAATCTTCCACTGCACCGTCCTTCGACCCACAGACTGACAGACAGACGACATCAAGGTGAGCTCTCTCTCTCCACCCTCTTCAAAAGTTAATGAAGCTTTTAGGTAAAATTTCTGTTCAAGTGGGCCTCTTCCATATGCCCGATCAGATTCTACTGCTAAAGATCATACCTGTGAGAAGGGCAAAAGTACCAGAAGAATGATAAGGGCACACATTTTGAACATTAACAAGATCCTTACAAAAACTCTCCGATCCCGCCGCCATGCAGTCTTAGATCGGCAATCAAACCAAAAATCTCAACCCATTATCGTCGTGATTCTCCTTGTCGTCGTCGGAATCTTTCATCGTCGTATTCGTTGTTGTGTGCCTAACTCTTTAATTTTGTGCTAAGGATTCAAGGTAAGAAAACAGAGGGAGGAAGAGAGGGGATTTTGTCCTTGAGGATGAGAGAGAGAAAAAAAATTCAGATTTGAGGAAAGCATAACTTACCTAAGTCCCATCATCGCTGATATGATGGTTGTCGGCGATGCCGATCGGTGAATCATCTTTGTCAGAGTTGCCCATCTGGTGGCCATCATCATGTTACATGGGAGAGAGAATTGTGGGTTGTGTGGTTATTGTTATAAAAGACGAAATATAGCGTTTTTTAAAATGTGAAAATACTTTCTGAAAGTAAAAAAGTAGAAATATGTTAATAAATATAATTTTCACTTTTACTTTCTATTTTTAGGAATTGACAGTAAAAATTAGAAAGTGTTACTAAACAGGCCCTAAATGCATCACATTCAAGTGTTGGGCCAATATAATAATATCCCAAATTATTCTATCTTCAACTAAAGCTGATTACGGTTTTTTTTTTTTTTAAAAAAAAAAAAAAAAAAAAAAAACAGCTAACTAAAGCTGATTTGTTGATATGAATGATGTATTGAAAGCATGTCATACATAAGTTTTTTGGCAATCAATTTGGCTAAGCATTTCTAAATTTTATTATAATATGAAATTGGTCTACATATATGACAAAAAAAATAAAAAATCCAAAACAATCAGATTTGATACGAATTGATCATATAAAAAACAACAAAAAATTCCTCAGCACTTATCCAGTTTAGCTATACAAGGTTTGGATGGTGTGATGACTACCTTCTCATCTTGTGTACTCCTCGCTAGTACTTCTGTTTGTTTCTCAACTTTAGTGTTGTTTGGTGCCTCTTGGCTTTGCGTCGTTGTCCTTGGGACCATATGCACACTCTCTCTTTTTCTACAAAAGCTTACCCTTTAATTAAATTTTTTTAAAAAAAAAGTTATATGCAAGAATTGATTTAGATCTCTACGAAGTGGGTTAAGATTGTTGGATGATTAAATGCAGTCTGTTTCTACTTAAATTGTGTTGGGAAATGGTAAAACTTCCACATAAAAACAAAACATAAATACACCTTAAAATAAATAAAACAAGGATAAATTACAATAACACCATCTAAAGTTTGGCATAAGGAC